ACTGTTGAAATTACTACAGTACTAGGTCAAGGAGTATTACAGTTTGTCACTAGATGGCGTTGATTTAAAATGATCTATTTTGAGTCATGGTGTTAAGGTTTTTCTCAAATTTAATGGTCACTCATGAATATCTTCTGTTAAGGTGAGTCAAGAATCTTCTAACTGCTGCCAAGTAGGTCACCCCTCAGGGAACGTCCGCGCTCTTACGATCTGTCAACGCAGGGAAATTCTCAACGACTTTGACAAGGCGAGGACGAAGAGCTCCCCAGTTCAGCATATTCTCTCGCATATCAACCACAGCACTTCTGGCGTTCGTGTCCAGTAGGGTCGTGAGCCAAGGTCCGTGCCCACCTGGGCGCCCTCTGGCCTGGTACTTAAATTGTTGTACGGCTCTCATAAGAGCCATTCGCTTGCCCTTTTGTCCGGTGGCGCAGTCAAGGCCATCAGAGATCAACTGCAAAATATCCTTTTGATTAAAAAAAGATCTACCTATAACCGTCGACACACGCCCATAATTCTGACACCACGGCAGTGCACCGCCAAGTTTCCTTACATAACGTTAAGTATTACTTATCGAGTTCTTCGTTTGGTTCTTGGATGTTGTAAGGGAGTACTAGTTAGCCAGACCTATACTCTGTCCATGTACCACATATGTAAACATCTTATAGTGCGTTTTAGAACAAACGGTTTAACGCCATCTAGTGGCATTTTGTCAAAATTTTTGAGATAACCACTTAGTAACCTGATCTAAAACTAAGGAATTTCTTGTATTATGCGTACGACAGCAACGATTAACTTCAAGGCACAACCTAGATAACCCAGACCAGAAATAATTTTGAAAAGTTAGTTTCGCAAATTGGTCCTACCGGGAGTCGAGCCCGAAATTTTCTCGTCTAGCGTCCACAGTGCAACAGTTGAGCTATCAAGGTCGTTTTACATACAACATACATTGTCAGTTTTAATTTTAACAGAAGCTTTAGTCCAAATTAATATTATAAATGCAAAAGTCACTCTGTCTGTTACTTTTCCACGCCTACATTTTGTTGTAAAGAAAGTGGGACCTAGGAGAAGGGCATAGGCTACTTTGCGTCACAAAAATGAAAGGGGGCGAAACTTTGTATCGAGAGCCAATAATTTCTCAAAGTAAGGAATCTGAAAATTCATATTTATGCCTTTTGTAATGAAAATTATTATTAGTATAATTATTAATACAAAGATCGAACACTCAGAAAAAATTCCTTCGATCCGGTCGGATTCGAACCGACGTCTTCTTGCATACCGTGCCAGACGCTATACCAACTAAGCCACGGAACGAACCAACGGACCTCACGAATTTTTCTATGTGCTTGCGTCGTGTCTTTGTACTTGGTCTTTCAACGACTTTTTAGTCGTAGCGCCATCTACCGGATCGAAGGATTTTTTTCTGAGTGTTCGATCTTTGTATTAATAATCATAACAAACTAGTGGAGTAATTTCACAAAAAATAATTGAATATCAATTCAATAAAAATTTAATTATTATTATTAGTACTTAATCTACGCAGCTAGTAACCCATAAACAAAGAAACATATACTTAACGGCATTTCTCATAAGATTTCACATCTGAGAGCCGTAACCAGCACAGCTTCTTCCATCTTTACTAAAAAAAACACTGCAAATTTTTTATAAAAAAACCGATTCCAAAAGTTCCTGGAATTAAGTCTATTTGCCAAGTTTTATTGAAATCGGTTACCGGAAAGTGCACGAAACCGGATACGAATCCGGTTTAGGTCCTAGTTTGCCACCCATAGAGGTGGAATATATTCTTCAAATTTAAATGGGATACTGAGGTACTCTCTTTCCAATAAAAAAGAATCATCAAAATTGGTTCACAAATTTTAGGCCGGAGTTATCGCGTAACATACATACAAAAAAAATGTAGCCAAATTGAGAACCTCCTCCTTTTTTTGAAGTCAATTAAAAATGGAGTTCAAAGACTTGTGTGAAATAAATCGCGTATTTTTTTTTCAAATAAACCAACGTTTCTAGCTTTTTACTGGTCCCATGGCCACGGTTGACTGAGACGGTTAAGTCATCAACCAGTTATGTCTAATATTAACGCAATTGTGAACTACAGTTACGAAAGGTACGAACTTAAATACCTTCTATAAATTATGATCTTTTTAACTGACTTTAAAAAAGGAGGAGTTTCTCAATTCGACTGTACTTTTTGTGTTTATGTTACCCGATTACTCCGGCATTTGTGAATCGATTTTGATGATTCTTTTTTTGTTGGAAATAGGGTACCTCAGTATTGGTCCCATTTAAATTTGTAGAAAACATTCCACCTTTAAGGGTGGCAAACTAGGGGATGAATCCGGTTTCGCGCACTTTCCGGTAACCGGTTCCAATAAAACTTGGCAAATAGATGTAATTCGACAAGCAAACTTTTTTGAATACAAAAGTTATTTTTATTTCCTGAAGGAAAGTGATTGAAGTAAACAATGACTATTCATTCTCGCCTTAAAAAGTTTAAATTGAAAGGCATCATACTTATATTCATCTTCATGTACTCAAGGGGCCATGATTTTGATGTATAAATCATGCCGTGTTACAATATATTATGTATTTTTATTTATTATATATACACTGTTATGTACACAGTATGGCCGGCGTGCGACCTCTGCTAGAGAAATGACATCATTTGCCTTTATACGCTTGAATCGTTTGTTTGTTCGCTAAGCGAATGTTTTGATCATGCTAACTAGTAAATAGATTTACTCTACTACACAGCGACTATAGGAAGAGGAATTTCATGGCGTGACAACTGTAGCACTAGACCTCCTTGGAAATACTGCTACCTTACCTATTTCTGTCGCCAAGCAGTAATGTGGTGGTTGCGTTCCGGTTTTGAAGGGGTGCTTGTGAAATTACATGCACATGGGACTTGTCAACTTATGTCTTATAGTGATGGGCGCAGCGGCAGTGCTCCTCAGATCTTTGTGATTTAAAGCTCTGAGTGGCACCGCAACTGTTATGGACAGGCGTGTCGCCTAAATCAAATTAAATCATTTATTGCTTTAACTGTGGTAAGTAGGTACAATAGAGTACCTAATAGACTAAATGTGTGATACATTATTCTGTAAACATAAATGCCATTTGTGACATGCAATACATATCGTCGGTTAAAAGGTAAAACTCACTAATAGCCTAATTGGCCAAAGGGAGATAATTAAGATTTTGTATTTTTTCATTATGAAAAATCATTAAAGGACTGGTATGTATTAAAACATGAAGGACACCACAGACTTACTGAATTTTTCTTGTCATAGATGTTCTTCCCAATAAAGCAAAATTGAAAAAATCTAGTTTTTGAACAAAATGTCACTTAATGAGTTTTACCTTTTAACCGACGATATATAACACAAGAGTCAATGCAACGTGCACTAGTAATATAATGTAATGACTAATACCTATAAGCATGCTAAATTATAAAGCTGTGTCTCTAATTAATTACTCTTTACGTTATACATACATACAATCATTTCAAATAATTGTTATTTACATAATACTATGTCACTTGAAACCTTTTCTGAAATTATTACTCTAATTATGAATTTACATTAATTATAAATATTAAAATATCAAAATTTCATTTACACTATAATATGTTTCTTCTTTCAACCGCTATTTTAATAAACATTTACCGAATCTGGCAAATTATTATGAACTTTGACACACATTGACTTACTACTTTTTAACCGACTTCAAAAAAGGAGGAGGTTCTCAATTCGACTGTATGTTTTTTTGTGTGTATGTTACGCTATACCTCCGGTATTTGTGAACCGATTAACATGATTCTTTTTTTGTTGGAAAGAGTGTACCTCCATAGTGGTCCCATTTAATTTTGAAGAAAATCATCCACCCCTAGGGTGGCTGTTCACGCAAGAAGATTCATTTTTATAAATAGCGCCTAAATTTTATTATAAAGAGTAATTATTTTAATTTTGCTATTGTCCAATTCAAGGCGTTTTTCTCTCAATATACTTTGAGTAGTGAGAACCGATTTTTATTATCTCCAGTGTCAAGTCCTGTATAGTGGCGAACTAGGGGATATTTCAATAAAACTTAGCAAATAGACGTAATTCCACGTACTTTTGAGGTCGGTTTTTTAGTACACTGTACTGATCTAAACAAAGGTCTAAATGACTGATTTGGTGGTGCCCCACACATTCCTCGCACACATCTTTTCTGTGTTACAAAAGCCCTGTCAGCATCAGTACTGTTTCCCCACAACAACAAACCGTATATCTGAGATTTGACTCGACATGACCGTAATAGGCTGTAAGTAGGGCTTGAGGTATTAGGGGTAGGTTCTTCTGAGTTTACCCATCATATTGACATACCTATATTTTGTTACCACCAGGGGACACGATTTGTTCGTCCCTTCTCTTGGTATCATAAAAAAGACTTTGTTTTGTTTGTGTGGTTGTCAGTCTAAAATCAATAATTTTTTTAAAGCCCGGCTAGGGAAACCTTGTATCACGGGTGCCATGGACACACACATAGGTAACCACAAATTACACCCAAACTCACGAGAGAAATAAATGTATTACATGTATTTCTTACGGCCTGGGAAGGACCTCTAAAAATATAAAAAAATAAAAAATAAATAATGGAAGTAAATTAATTTCTTATTCCGCGTGCGTGTTGAAACTTTTTTCATGCAGTTTATTTTACCACTCTCCCTTTGCATAAAAACTAATACAATGCACACAAGCGGTACTCCAGTCACAAATACCACCACCAAAAATGTGCCCGATATCGTATTACAGATAGAGTTCAAAGCAGTTAATAGAAGTGCCAGTTTGTACAGCATAACATATCGCTCAATGGATGTACATAAATTGAATAACAGTATATTTAATTGACCGACACCAGCGGCAGCAGTGGACTGCAGCGATGATAATGATGACGTGTTGCAACAATAAATAATTTCATTTCTATTTTTCCTTTTCAAGGGGCGCATGGAAGTGGACGACCTTTTCGTGGACCTGGCGGACGGACGCCGCCTTCTCAAACTCCTGGAAATCATCAGCGGCGAAAGATTGCCCCGGCCAAACAACGGTCGGATGAGAGTGCATAAGATCGAAAATGTCAACAAATCGCTTAGTTTTTTGCACACCAAGGTCAGTACTTACATTCTTTTACTTTTCAAATAGATAAATATTTCTTTTAACTAGCAGACACTTATTTAAAAAATAGTCATATTTCCTCTGCGTCCTTGTACACACCGTATAAAAATTATGTAAAAAACAGCTACTTTTTAATTTGTATACTAAAAAAATTCACTTTTCCATTAGTTCACACTGTATACAATTTATCCGAAAAAACAGTTACATTTCGACTAAACTACCGACACGCTGTGATAAGCTAAGAGTTTAGACCACAGTCCACACATAAAATAAAAATAAAAAGTGTTTATTGAAGTTCAAGTGGCATAACAAAACGGAGGTTGAGACCATCCTATTAAGTAATTAAATACTTGTGTCAGGAGGTCTCGCTCTTCCTTAACTAAAACATACATCATCAAAGAACTTAATACAATAAAACAAAAATGAAAAAGAAAAAAGATGCTAATCAGTATTATCTTACTACAAAAGGTGTGTTTGTGTTTGTGTGTGTGTGTGTATTTGTGTGTGTGTATGTGTATGTGTGTGTGTATGTGTATGTGCGCGTGTGCGTGAGAGTGTGTGTATTATATGATAACTGTGTGCATATGGTAATATTCGATTTTATGTATAAACGCAGCAATACCCTATTTGAAAGGTTTATTGTAAAAGCGTTTCTGTATCATGGTAATTTATTGTTATTAACCGTTTTATCAGTTTTTCCCTACATTTATGTGAATTTGATTGATATATATGTAATTTTTTATTTAATTTGTTATATATATATGCGGATTGTGAGGCGTATTGTCTTTGGGCGAATTTGGTTTTTGTTCTTGGTATTTTAACCACTCTGTCACTCCTCCTCCTAATCATTACGCTAGGGATAAACGGCAAAGATCATATATCTTCAATATGCAGGTTTCGTACTCATGTTTTGCTTCTCCGTTAGCGTGATGTTTGCTACTCAACATTCACAAATGTACTGCAGTGTTTGGAGGTCCGTACGACTCGGTGCCAACCTGCTCGTTGCCCTGATCACTACTGAAGTGAACCAAAATATAGAAATTTGGACATCAACTATTGCTACTGTCCTTGCAAGCGTGGACTCTGTGGCCAGAGTGGCCGAGAGTCACAAAAGGCTCAAACATTGCCCAGTGCTACAGCCTTGTGCTTTTTGCGGTTGAAACACTGGGTCCTGGGGGCCACAGGCGAAACTTCTAGCGAACGAGCTGTCGAATCATCATCGTAGAAGCTTCCGGTGACCACAAGACTGGCAGCTATTTCCGCCATAGAATAAATATAGCAATTCAAAGGGGAAATGTTGCTAGCCTTCTAGGCACGATGCCCCAGGGTATTTTTCTATTTTTAAACATTCTTACCTTTTCATGTATCTTGCTACTATAAGTAGTTTAGATATGTGTAATTGATAAGTGCTTAGTGGAATAAAGACTTTTCCACTATTGCTGGAGAAATTACAGGCACATGTGAGAAACAAAAGACAGGCGCAGTTGCAGTGTCCCTCAGATCTTTGCGATTTAAAGCTCCGAGTGCGTCTGCAGCTGCTGTGGACGTGCGTGTCGCTTACCATACCATAAGAAAGCCACGGTGATTCCTCTCAATGGAGCAGCAACCGACAGCTCAATGGAATTCCACCGGCCGCTGTTTTCGTTAGAAGTTAGAACTTAGAAATGTGGTTGTGCTCGCGATCACGTAACGATAAACACTATCGCACATTCCTTGTGAAGCCATACAAGTACATATTATACGCCTGGGTTTCCTCGCTATCTCTAAGCGCATGTAATACAATTCACTTTTAGTCATAGATGGATGTACAAATGGAATTTCGCTTAGATGTCTATAGTTAAAATAATCTGCTAGACAGCCAATTACCTTTTTTAGGTGTGCATGCTCTATCGTCGTCCCTTTCCATTAGGTGAGATGGAGGTCAAATGCGCACTTATATTTTATAAAAAAAAAACTGTGCCTGACCTTACTCAGAATAAATTCAGAAAGTTGATTTCCGAAATCGTCCCTAACGGGAATCAAACCACAGACCTAGCATCTAGCGCCTATCATAACCGCTGGGCCACCGAGGTCGTCAATCACATCGAAACTTTCTAATCAAAATCTAGTTGTAAAAAAGTGAGGTAACTTAAATGGTTGTTTGATCCCTTGTTATTTTTAACAAAATTGAAACATAACTTACTAGTTATTATGAAACTACTGTGTTACTGTTAATGAAAAACATTAATCAACTAATCTGTTCAATCAATCAATCAAATCAAAGATATCTAATTACACACGCAAGTAAATGATACTTGAAGTCATCACATTGAGTCATGACTGCTCATTCGTAAGGTAGATTTCCTGGAAAACAATAATCAAGAAATTATAAGGGCTGTTTTTTGTGCAGGTGCGTCTAGAATCGATCGGTGCGGAAGATATCGTGGACGGGAACCCTCGTCTAATCCTCGGCCTGATATGGACTATTATTCTCAGGTTCCAGATCCAGGAGATCGAGATCGATGTGGTGAGTTTTACTTGCTTTGTTATTATTTTTTGGTTTTTAGTAGCAGTCGAGCTCCTTGTGAAAGAGTTCATCCAGGGAAGTACTGCCACCTTACCTACTTCTGCCACCAAGCAGTAATGTCAACATTACTGTGTTCCGGTTTTAAAGGGTGCTGGTGAAATCACAGGCACAGTGGACTTTTCAACTTATGTCTCAGAGTGACGGGCGCAGTGGCAGTGCCCCTCAGATCTTTGCGATTTAAAGCTCTGAGTGGCACTGCAACTGTTCTGGACAGGCGTGTAGCTTACTATCAGGCACACGACTTGTTCGTCCCGTCACTTGATATTATAAAAAAGAATCTACTATTGGACCCGAAAAAGGTAGAGCGTTTTCGAATACACGTGGCGCCATCTATCGTTAATATAGAGAACTTTTAATTCCTTCGATGGACACGAACACATGGACATGTATATAAAAATTGTCGACTAATTTGTTGTCGTGAAATCGGCACTATAATGCCCCGGTTTGGCGAAAAAGCAGCTGGTTCCACAACAAAGTAGTAGTATTTTTCTTTCACTGTAGTAGTTTAAAAGAGTACGATCGCTCAAGTAAGAGTTTTCAACGCGTACAAAGAATAGAGTTCCGCAGGGCGGGACGAAATCGACAACAAAAAAAAATGAAAAAGTAATTTGGGTTGTAAATTACAAATTTTTTTTGTTACTAGTTTTACATTTTATTAGTTCCCTTAAAAATTTGTTATACTTTTAATTGCACTGTTCTAATACGGTCATATTGATAAGATTTTAAATTTTTTTTTCGCACACACTCATAGCCCTGTACTAGGGAAACGCTGTATCGCGGGTGCCATGGATATACACATAGACAACTACAGATTACACGCAAACTCACGAGAGAAATAAATGTAGGCCGTACAAATATTTCTCCCGGCCCGGGAATCGGACCTCTGCGTGGCAAACCAGTATGGTAACTGTTCGGCCACGGAGGCAGTTAAAAACTTAATATATCTGTGTAACACATGGAAGTTGTAAATACCTTGACAACACTTGAACGCATAACCGCTTCCTATGTGCGGAATTACCTTAATAAACCGAATTACAAAATTTCCAGGACGAAGAGAACGAGTCATCAGAGAAGAAGTCCGCAAAGGATGCCCTGCTCCTCTGGTGCCAGCGGAAGACGTCTGGCTACACCGGAGTGCACATTCACAACTTCACCGACTCCTGGCGTTCAGGTCTCGGGTTCAACGCCCTTATACACGCTCACAGGTGAGTTACGTGCCAGTGCTGTTCACGGATCTCTACCAAATTGTAGTTATTCTAGTAGCAGCAGAATGTAATGGTGAAATTACGGGCACATGGGACTTGTCAACTTATGTCTCAGGGTGACGGGCGCAGTGGCAGTGTCCCTCAAATCTCTGAGTGGCACTGCAACTGTTATGGACAGGCGTGTCGCTTACCACCATGACTTGTTCGTTCCGTCATTTGGTATCATAACAAACGTCAACCTGTACGTTTGACAAAAATCTACCTCACGTTGATGTTAGTAAGGTATAGTATGCGAAATATTAATTTGAGCTCATGACCACTATCAGCTAGATCGGTTTATCTATTGTGTACATTACAATTTAGACACACAAGTAACGGCCTTGATGCATTTTAATGATGCATTTGTCCCTCATGTTTGGTGTTTTTCCTCGTGAGCCATAGATAAAGCTGTAATTGCGTTCGCATTAGACGTCCCACTACAATACGAGTTTGAGGACTTGGTCCATTTTCACAAGGAACTTTCTTCGATGCGATATTTTCCTCCTAATGCTATTAAACATTTCTGGGTTGCGTGTCTCGCAAGTTTCAGGACGGGTGAGGTTCTGCAATGAAGCGTTTTGTTTGATGTTCAATTACAATATTTTTCTATGTGCTTATTGCAAATATTCTTTTTTGGTTGTTAACATTTTTATTTACTTTTTGGCGTAGCGCCATCTGTGAAGAAACCTATGAAAGTTTTTCTTCACTCAGTCAGCAAAGGTGACACATAGAAAAATTCTTCTGTATTGATAGTCTTTAAGATTTCAACTCTTGGTCTACTTTATCCATCCATTTACCTTTTTCCATTTTGGATATAAATGAGTTAAAGACAAAAAATACGAGACTGACAGAGCCATTAGAAATGGCTTTGGCTTTTAACCGATATTTCACAAATTTGACTAATGATAAGAATATTGACTTTAACAAACATAAGTATGACAATCTATCAATGCTACGTATGATATTAAACTAATTTTACATAAAACCGTTCTTAACCTATGACATTATTAGAATAATGCAATCTCTAAACAGTACTAATGCTTGTGGCCATGATGAAGTCTCAACAAAAGTTTTAAAACAATGCAAGAACGAATTGGCACCTGTTTTGACATATTTAATAAATCTATCCTTTGAAAGCGGCATGTTTCCTGATCTATTAAAGCTATCAATAGTGAAACCGATCTATAAGGACGACAAATCTGAGCTATCCAACTACCGCCCGATTAGTCTTATCCCGATTTTAGCCAAAATTTTCGAAAAATGTGTGTATATTCGATTAATGGACTAGTGCACAAAATTTAACATAAAAAACCAGAACAATTCGGCTTCCAAAAGGGAAAATCGACTGAGGCTGTTTTCAATATTGCCGATATAGCGATTAAAGTTCTTGACACAAAAAAGCACAGCACAGTATTGTTTCTGGACATGTCTCAAGCTTTCGATTTCGTAGCACATGATAGATTGCTGATAAAGTTAGAGAAGTGTGGTATTAGGGGCATAGCACTGGATTGGTTTAGGTCATACCTACAAACCTACATACCTACACCAGCAACGGGTGGAGTTAAACTACCTAGATAAAAAAAATATGTTGACACATGCTGTTCGCATTATGGGTCGTATTCTAGAACTATACTCAATGCTCAAGTCAGGATTGCACGGGAAACACAAGCACTGGAAATACGACCCTAAAGGCAAGGACTTGAGTATGATTTTCAGTGCTCACTGCAATACTCAAGTCCTGACTTGAGCATTGAGTAGAGTTCTAGAATACGACCCTTAGATTCGAATAGGTTTGGCGTTCCTCAGGGAAGTATATTAGGCCCTTTAATATTTTTGCTATATATCAATGACCTGCCATTAATAACTAAGCACAATTGTATCATGTATGCAGACGACATTGTGATAGTCATAAATTCAATTAATAACGACGTCAATCACTATGAAACTGAAATTAATGACACACTAAAATCCGCGGTAGATTGGTTGTATGTAAACAATCTACACGTCAATTTGGAAAAAAACTAAATATGTTCAATTCGCTGTAAAAGGACGTACACCAATCAATATAAACATTAACTATGATGGAAAGATTTTACAAAAGATATTTTACTAGGGACAGTTAAATTTTTGGGTATATTAATAGATAAAAATCATAGTTTTACCAACCATGTTCACAGCGTCTGTAGCAAAATGAACAGTTTTGTATACGTCCTTCGTAGGTTAAGACAAATTACTTCTAAAAAAATTTGTTTATTCGCTTACCACGGCTACATCGCGTCGGTTCTGCGTTATGGATTAATCATATGGGGTAATGGAACTTATGTCGAACGAGCATTTATAACTCAAAAAAGATGTATACGAGCAATGTGCGGCATCGGCCCACGGGAATCTTGCAAGCTGCTGTTCGAGAATTTAAATATTTTGACTTTACCTTCCATGTATATTTATGAAGTTTGTAAATTTGTCAAACAGCATCTAAAATTATTTAAAAAATCGATAGAAATTAATCCACGCGCAAAAAGAAACCCAGACAGACTTGTTGTTGAAAATATACCTAAAACTACACTCTACTTAAAAAGTTCATTTTACATGTGCATAAAAATTTATAATAGACTACCAATTGAAATAAAAAATCTGACATTTAAAAGAATGACAACTGAACTGTATAAAATACCTAGTTAAAAAGGATATTATAATGTGAATGACTACTTAGAAGATAACATTTAATTCTTTAATTATTTTTGTATAATGGCTGAATAGATGAACTCAAATGTAATAACTACCATCCTGTAATAACCTATTCAATGCAAATAAACCTTATTTCATTTATATTTTCGTTAATGTAATAATAGTTTTATAACGACTTTTTGTTTCTTGAATAAATAAATAAAAAAATCGAAAAATCTGCTAATTCTTTTTGTAGCTCAGTTGGGAGATCCAACCGGATCGAAGAAATTTTTGTTAGTGTTCGATATGTTAACAAGAATAACATAAATATAGTCACAGGTACATGCCGCAGTTGGAATTTGAACTGTCGTTTTAACAATTTCGAATCCTAGATCCGATTTTCCTACTTGCCTACCACTGCTCGTTGTTCTTGTTCTAGTCTATAGTTTGTAAATTACGATCGTCTATTTTACAGACCGGACCTGTTCCGATGGGCGGATCTTTCGGAACGCGACCACGTGGCAAACCTCAACCATGCCTTCGACATGGCGGACAAGAACTTGGGCATCCCGCCGCTGCTCGACGCCGAAGGTACACACATACCATCACATCGATATTATATATAAGTTCGAATATGTTGAAGCAACGTGAAGTAATTAGTAGGTAACTAACTGGCTTGCGTATTGCAACTTGAGAGAGCTGAACGGGTTCGTACGAATCTTTGGAATATCCACACATGAACACAGAATAAATATAATCCGTGTCACCTATAAGCCTCTTAGCACGTTTGTGGATTGAATCCAAAGTAGCCAGTTGGTATGTAGTAGAGCCATCTCATAGAATAGAATAGAATAGAATAGAATAGAATAGAATAGAATAGAATAGAATAGAATAGAAT